TAATTTTTTTTGGATTATTTTTTGCGCCTTTTTTTTTTTTTTTTTTTTTTTTTTTTTTTAATTTTCAATCTACAATTCTCAAAGCGGTTTAGTGTTTTGATCGCTACTCCCTAGTTCTTCACAAGCGACATAAAAATGACCTCAAATTTGCCTGACCTAGTCATATGCTTATTATCTCTCCGCCTGAACAGGAAAAAGGCACGTTCGCGTTCTAGCGTCGCTTAGAAACGCCTCTTTCAGAGAAATATTCTTCTGCTTGACAAAAAAGCTATTGCGTAGTAAATTCAATTCACAAAATACTGTCTCCCGGTTGTCAAGCGTTGATTGAGCACGAACGTGAGACAAATTTTCAATTATTATTTGGCTAAGGGATAATGAATTACCGCGAAAAGGAAATAAGCATGTTGGTTTAAAAACAATTTTTAGCAAATGTCTTTTAATGGTTAATTAGTTCGCTTCTGCTTAGCATAGTGGATGATTTCATACTACAGGGTAAAACACGCTATAGATCGGACGTAAGATATTACAGATAGCCGATAACTGATAAGTCTCAAATGTCAAAAAGACGGCTGACATTTTAAACTAATAACTGACCGTCCATCGTTGGAGTTGAACATATTTCTTTTTCTGATAACTAATAAAAAGGATAATCGTGGTTTTCAAAACGAATGTAACTTAAATGTCATACTGAGCAAAACTGCCTTCGCCAACTTTAATATCTAAAGGCAAAACACTTGAACCCTATGGGATGAACAGACGAGATGAAATTTAATCTATCGACATATATTTTTATGTATTAACCTCTTCATACAAGTTTTTATCTGCTGTATTCCTTCCCCAATCACATTTTATTTTTGTATTATTTTATATACTGTAACAGTTTATTCCATTCTCACTTAGCTTTTCCAGCTCCAGGTGAAGACTAGTTTTGTCTAGTCGAGATATTAGGCAAATAAATTTGTAAACCTTAGCTGTCCGATCAACCTTGCCTTCAATTTTAAGACTGACCAAAGCCGGTTAGAAAAGAATCCGTCGAGTGAGACTGGGAGGGAAGGCCGGTGGGAAGAGCATTATGTACGACTCATTAAAGAGTTGAGAAGCGGTCACGTTGCCATGGTAGCAAAATTTCTGCATATCAAAACCGTGATCCTGCAAATATGGCAGAAAAAGACGAAAAAATTGACATGTATGACTTTCCTGGTGCATGATAGCCCGTAGGAACAAAACGGTAGCCCACACTTTTCTTCCTGATCGTTCGTTCGAGAATGCAAATGGCCGTCTCTGTCAAGATGGATTGTTGAGATCCAGAAATTTTACTACCATGGTAACGTGACGTCACACCTGTCTATTGATCTACGCTTTGAGCCGGAGAATCTCACTAAAATATTTTGATAAGAAGCAAGTTCCATAGTTGTTTGTTATTCATTTGAAAAAAGAGAGAGAAAAAAAATGCCAAATGGCTTTTTTGAGGCTATTCGAGGACACAAAAACTTACCAAAACAGTCAACCTAGTGCCCAGGGCTCGTTTAGAAGTATCACTCTCAAACTTGGCAAGTTTACTAACGTTAAGGTGTTTTTTGAGTGGTTTCAACGGATAATTTCGGATATTATAATAATAATAATAATAATAATAATAATAATAATAATAATAATAATAATAATAATAATAATAATAATAATAATAATAATAATAACAATAATTAGAAATAGATATTACGTACAACTAAGAAATGCTCAGAAAAAAACCGAGCCCCCTTAAGGAATCGAACTCAGGACCTTCCAGATGCCGATGTGACGCCCTAACCACTGAGCTTTGGACGACTCACATGGCCAGCATGTTCTATTCCCGCTGGGGGCTCAGATTTTTTGGCTGAGCATTTCTTAGTTGTACGTGATATCGATTTCTAATTTCATCACACTTTGGTGGTTGATTGGGTTCAAAGTGTAAACAACACTTTCTTAAGGTGTTTGCGTGATGCAAGTAAGCCAATGTGTTGCTTTGCTTTAGTCCAGCATAGTCGCGATAAAAAAAGTTCTGAGGCCACCCTAAAAACCGCGACCTGCTCGCCAAGTGAGTCGCCCATGGCTCAGTGGTTGGAGCGTCATACCGGTATCTGGAAGGTCCTGGGTCCGATTCCTGCTGAGGGATCGGATTTTTTTCCTGAGCATTACTTAGTTGTACGTAACATCTATTTCTAATTTCATCACACTTGAATAATAATAATAATAAACCGTGGAAAAGGTCCATCACGTCGCCTAATTGTTCCTGACCGGTTGCTCCGGTAACTATGATAAATATTTTGGAAAGTCGGCTATAAAAAGAGGCTTAAATCAGGCCGTTGGTATGACAACCTCACCTAATATTTACCTTATTTTCTTGTATAAATATGAGATAAATCTGCTGAAAAAAAACAAAAAATTCCCTTTTTGTCCAGGCAAGCATACCACGCTTTCTTTTTCGTATCTGTTATGTTATGGCCTTTTGTGGTCGATTTGATACACTGTAACATGGTCGTTGAAAAGGACACTTTGACTGATGCTAACATTGGAAAAGAAAAAACTGCATTCAACGATGATGATAGTTTCTTTGTTGCATATATTGATTCGTTATCGGATGACGACAACGAAAGTGATGAAAATGATGTTCTAAAAGTCAGCTGCCACGGTAGTGATTTGAAGCGAATGAGAGACGAGGCCTGGCAATGCAGAGTTCTCACAATCAAACGAAGAAAGATAAGCATTCACCTGGAAATGATGAGCTCAGGTCTTACTTCTGTTGCATTTAATGAGAAAGAACTAATCAGTGAAGATTCTCCTAAATCATCTGATTCTGAGCAATCATTCGATGAATGCCTAAAGATTCAAAGTGAATCCGACTCTAAAAATGAAGGTCCTTTACAGTCTAGTAGAGAGAAGCATACCCGTGGTGATATAACGTTGAAGAAATGTCGCACGAAATAGTCTTTTAACAATAAACTGAAAAACATATTTCCAATACGTAATGGGGACAGTACTGTTCTTAACGTATGTCATCTTTAATTGGCCACATCTGGGAAATATAAACTAAGTGTGTAGGTGTAGAAAAGTTTTAAATGGATCAGTGTAACCAGAGAATCCGAACTTGATGTTGACTTAAATCACAAAGCCAAGGACAACGACGACTATCAAGCTGAGACTACGGGAGAATGGAAAAGAGTAAAGTCAAGACCTTGTGCAGGCTGACACTGGGACTAAAGATTAAGATAATGGCGACTTGAACGTCCGAGAAGTAAGGTTCAATCTCAGGAAAGCAACAGCACTGTATCTCGTCACAATTTTGGTACATTTTTTCATTCTCTCGCACTATTTGCAACAGCAGCGGGGTCGAAATATAAAGTTCAATGGGATAGAAATATTGCAATCTAATTGTAGGCATACTGAATTCGACAGTTTTTTAAGTTGTGATATAGAGTTGTATGTTTCTGATCCCCGTTCTAGCCCTGCACAGCATGCTCAACAAAAAGTAAAGTATCCGACTACAGCGGCGGTGAGATCCTACAGGCGAAAGGTCTTACCTAAGCGATATCAGAATAATAACTTTAAAAAAATGGAACATGCTATCTTAGTCATTTATTTAGTCGACAGAGCGTGAGACGGATGATGTAAGCGTAAGGTAAGGGATAGTGACTGACTAGTAATCAATCATCATACATTATGACTCAATTTATTGCAGATAGAGCGACCCATGCATCAAATAATTGAAGATTACTCAAACAAAAATTAATTAGAATTACAAGTGCAGTGTTTTGCGTTCTTCATCTATGACATCAATTTATAACTTGACTGAAATGGCCGTTAATTATTGGACCAAATCTATTTATCCCGCTGATCAACCTATGATGGATATGAATACGACCTATTTCATTGTTGATTTAAATCATCACTCTGTTTTCTCTGCCCACTAACAGCCTTCCACGCAGACGTTCTTTTGGCTCGTCACGTAATCCTCCCCGACGAACGTCAAGAGGAACGCGTGACGAAACACTAAGAGCGTCTGCGTGGGAGTCTACCCGCTAAAGGTAAATGCTAATCTGCACATTACGTGTAACAAAGATCTAGATAAAGCAGAGGTTTAGATATGGTCGCTTGTCCAGATAAACGTGTTGGGTTGTCAGAGACTTGATCTTAGGGATACATTTGGGCATTGTTTCTGACTGGAAGAAGCCATACTGCAAAAGAATTAAGTAGGAATAAAAAAAATCACTAACCGATGGGAAGTTAAAAGAAACCCGTTAACCGAATATGCAGAAAGCCAGAGGCCTCCGCCCCCACTCCCACCCCCTCCGTGTTTAGGGAGAGGAGACGGATGGCATTTTAGACTAAAGAGGTTGGGTGCACTGTGCTCTGAATAGACGGTGGACCCATACGCATACAAACCAATTGCAAATTAAGAATCCATGGCAACCCATGAGCAGTAGCGTCACAATATACAAGGAGTTAAAAATTCATCGGTGTATAACTGAATTGAGCTTCTCTTTTGGACTTGACTTACCTTGAGCCTTTTGGGGGGAGGGTGTTCGTATCTTGAACTGTCAGCGTTGCCCTGGGCAACCCATCCGAATCCAGTCAAGCGATCTCTGTTGTACAGAAGAAACATCGGATAGAAGTCATCGCAGTCCATGTTGGCGGAGATGTTGTACCAGTAATGACGGCCTAAATTCAACAAATGGATTAAATGACTAGATAAAATCGAGTTCGTATAAGGCTTAACTGAGTAGTCTTTAGGCTAAACCAGCTCAATGCGGCAACTAAAAAAAAAACGCTTCTGTAACTCTAAGTTTCCCCAAGTTTCAATGGAACGCTTGTTTCTTTTTAGAGGTGCAAGGTTAAATCAAACTATGTGGGCTATATTTGAGCGTCGATATGTTTGGCAGTCTTTCTAAACTCTTCTCTATCCACCGCTCTGTGCTAAAGGTGTAAGTCACATTTACGTGACATTAGCTAGCCTGAGAGCAAGCTCTCTTAGGGGTACGGGGGTGGGGGAGGGAAGAGGGAAAGGAGAGCCAGCACTCGCGTCCCACAGATTAGAATTCCGTCCTCTGAACCCCCTGTTGCTCCTCGGGGTCTTTTCACACGGTCATGCAGGTCATGAAAGGAATCGTGACTTCGTGACTGTTATGTTATTAACTCACCCATGGCAGGAAAGCATCCACCACGAACCCAGTCTGTTCCCTCTAAATCTTCCTGTTTGAAAGGGATTGCCATAGTATTGGACGACTGGGGCCCAGTCTGCAGTAACAGTTGGTCGCCCAAATATTGAGAGGAGGGTCTGGACCCAGAGCAAATTAGCCGCGGGTCGGTGAAGTAGGCGGTGATGACGTACATGTCATTCTCAGATATCCAGGGCGCCTTTAAAACCCCAACAGCTGATTTGGGGATCTAAAAAATAGTTAAATAGATACAAAGACATTCTGAAAATGAGAGCACACTACTGTATCAGCACGCATTAGTAACAGGATATAAAAGCTGAAGAACATAAAAATATTCTATTTTTGACAAAATACCATTTTCTAGCCTAGATCTATTATTTTTGCTGATTCTTTCGAAAAGCATCAGCGAGAACACATGGTGTTTGCTTAGACGTTTTTCTCTATCAATTTGTCGTCTCCAAAAACATTAAAATCGTCCTTTACTGTCGCCATCGTCATAGTCACCACTATTATCATGATCACCATCATGATCATCATTTTCATCATTGTCATCATCATCGTCATCATCATCATCATCATCACCGTTATCATCATCACCATCGTGATCATCATCATTTTCATCATCATCATCATCATCATCATCGTCATCATCATCATCACCGTTATCATCATCACCATCGTGATCATCATCATTTTCATCATCATCATCATCATCATCATCATCGTCATCATCATCGTCATCATTATGATCATCATCATCATCAACATCATCATCATCATCATCGTCCTCCTCCTGATCATCATCGTTTTATCATTAACATCATCTTCGACATCACCATTATCGCTATTACCAACACTTAGTGATCGTATTATTATTAAATACATTTATTCTTCTAAGGGGACAGAGTAATAAAATTGAACAAAATGTCAAAATGCAAAATGTGGAATAGTTTCGGCTCATTAAATAACCATCGTCATCGTCATCGTCATTGCTAAGGTAATCATTAACCTCTCTCGGAAACTATGACTAAAGGTTGAAAGGATGTGAAAACTTACTCCATTTTGAATTCCAGCTATTTTGCCCACGTGATCAAACAAGAGCATCACGGCAGTGTCACCTTCGAGCACATAACGATTTCCAGCAAAAAAATTGAACCCTGTTAACAAAATGTTTCATCAGAAAGCAGATATAACTAAGCGTTTTTCCTAAATATGGAGATAAGAAGACGACGTGGACATAATACACGGTTGATTTGCCAATCAGTAACAACAAGTTCCTTGGGTGACTAAGTCTCGCGTTTGCCCCCTTCGTTTCACTTTACCACAAGTCTACTGAAAGCAAAAGACAAATTCTTCATCCCTAAGACTTGCATGTGACTCTACTTCTCACCGTCGATCACAAATTTTGCACAGATAAGCGCGGCGCGATGAATTGGTGGGAGGCTAGTCCAAGGATGATCAACCTCACTTTTCGCCTATAAATATCAATACATAAATCAAGATAAAAGATTTCGAGATTAACAAAATGATCACCTAAAGGAAAAGGATTCGATCCTTTATCAACTTTCACTTTTCTTCAATTTATATTAAGAGACATATCTGGAGAACACCGCAGAGTGATAGAAAACAAAACTGACCACGCAGTACTAGAGCATTTCAGTCAACCCGGACACCAACTAAAAGACTTCGAACTTATCCCACTCGAATTTATCAACACCAAAACAGAATCCATACGTAGAGCCCGCGAACATTTCTTCATTTAAAAGGCACAAACTATGCTGTCACCGTGAAGAATAAACAGAGAGAGCGACCGTTAAATCATTTATCTACTTATTGATTTCATTATTATTATAATTTTTTAACTTTAATTAATTTTTTATTGTAATTATTATTTATTTTTTAGTTACATTACCTTTGTATCAAATTTAATTTTATTAATGTAATGTTTATTTTTTTATCTCGGATAAAACAAAAGGATTTGGCTTTCGTCATTTTATCAAAAGGTTTTAAACGTATGGATATCAGTTTCGAGAATTTGTATTTGAATATTGGAGCTCAAGTGGATAACTCACTGATCTCTTTTATTTGCCCTTAACTCGAGTTAACACTGATCTTAGCCGTGGAAACATCTGCTATAAAATGACTGACAGCCTGTCCGTAATTTCTTACCTTCACATGTTTTGTTCAATAACCAGCCTTCAGCCTTGGCTTGGTTTACAGTTATCGGCAGACCACTGAATCGCCCGAATGTCACTGAAAAGAGAGAAATATACAAAGCATTCATTCAAACTGCATTCAAGCATAAAAACGTATTAATATCACTTTGTCGTTAGGTATTGTGGGGCATTTTGTGGGCTAAAACGGAGAATTTGGCAGGCTCGGGCTAAAATGAGCCTGTGTCGGGCCAAAAACATATTTATGCCCGCAAACATAAACTCGACTACGAGGACGAAACATTTTCCAGGGAATACCTAGGGCTGCCACAGCCTATCCTGTTCCAGGCTCTTGGTCTTAAAGGTGATGTTACATGGGACGATTCGCAACGACGATTTTTAGCGCAACACAGCGTTGAAATGCTGGAACAATGTTGTAAAGAAAAATCAAATGTCTAAAAATCGTCGTTGCGAATCGTCTCGTGTAACATCATCTTAAATCTTTTTGCTCGTCCCTACTAACTGAAAGCCTTTAACAAGCTAAACACAGCATAGACAAAATGGCTGTGCGCATGCGTAATGTAGGGGCATACCGCGAAACCGCTAAGCAAAAGAGTTATAGCAGTTTAACTTTTCAATAAATGTACCTGACAGCTTTGACCATTCCGGAGCTGCAAATAAAAAAACAAAATGTTCAAATCATAAACGTCGATAACGCATTCTTTGCAGTACACTCACCACATAGACTAAAATGGGCAAAGTTTGACAATTCCTATTTATATTCACGACTAAGAGACGGGAATGGGTGTGCAGCTCGAACTGTGGAGCCTGAGTGTTTAATGCCGTCCAAATAACATACAAAGTTCAACATCATAACTAAAGAATGGTATACAAATATTGCTAAATAAAGTCACTCAGGCTAAACTATTCACGTGCACCGCCCGATACGAAAACCCAAAAACCCAATGGGAAAAAATTGGGGACGTATTCCCCAACCGATGCGGTCGCATAACCTCTGGGGGTTAAAGGTAAAAATTGAATCGATAGATGAATAAAGTAAAACATAAAGATAAAAGCTGATATTTCGAGAGCTGAGATGAATACATTACAACTGTCAAAACCTTATATACCTAATAACAATAGCGTCAATTAACGCCATAGCGGCTCACGTGCGTTCACACCAATAGGAAAGTATTTACATTCTCTGTCACTGCCACTACGTTTAGCTCCGCCGAACGTAAATACATTTATTTTAGCTGCAGGATGACGTTTGTAAACTCAGAGCCAAAGCTGAAATATTTGTTCACATCCAGGAAGGTTACCCTCTTTGGTTTCCTAGGCCTACAGTTTTCTCAGTCAAAAAGGAGAAAGAAGTATCGTCCCTGTTACTGGGAGGTTCTGGAGACTGGGACACAGAAAAATGAAAACCGCGTGAAGAGTGGGGAGAGGCAAAAGAAAGCCCGCGAAAATACGAGGAACCATAGTGGTGGCTACCACACCACCCTTGTAGCCCTAATATTTCCAAAGCGGAGTTGACCAATCATAATGAAACTGTTCTAAGTAGGCAAGCTTCTAATAATACTCGTTGAAAAGAAAAGGCGACTATAAGTACATTTCCAACAGCACGTCCCTCTTGGTAATCTTTTGTCCTCTTCTATCAGAAATTGTCACCCGCCAACTTCTACCCACTTAGATTAAAAAGAAGCGATCATGTTTCTTTCGCTTATTAGTTTATTGGGGACGTGGCTGATGTCAAGTTTCATCGTGCTACAGTTCATGGTGCGCAATACGCCACTTTCTAAAAATATTTCAGACAAACTGTTTTTTTTTTTCTCACCAAGTCGCTGCAAAATTTCCCACAAAGATAATTTCCGTTAATCTTACTGGACTCGAGCCAATCGTAGTAAAGTCTGTAAAGTATTACGTAGCTGGATATTCTGGAATGCCGTTCTCTGAGAGGCCTTTTGCTTTGGGATTGTTTTTTAGGAAAACAAATGAAGCAGCAGTAGTTTGTTTTGTTTGTTCAAGACATTGGCAGCTTGTGACCGTATGTTAGCAGGGAAGAAACTGCAAAATTTAAAGAGTCCCTAGCTTTAGTATTCTTCCGAGCGTTTGCAGTCTTTTTATTTGAAGCGAGAAATAGTTTAGCCTCCCACGCTAGCCTGCATAGCTGGCGGTATTGTGTACTAGGCGAGGGAGATTTGGCGGCGGAGCCGCTGTACCAGTCGAGTGAGAGTTGGGCTCCGCCGCCGAAACTTTAATCACACAATACCGCCAGCTGCGCAGGCTACCTCCCACGCAGGCGTTTACAAGGGAGCTCGTATTTCGTCCTTTTATTTTCGTGTTCATGTTGACGCTTTCTCAATTTAGCGGAGCCGACTATCTCGTAGTCTCCGTTGCAGCCGTTTTTTAGCGTTGCGTGACATCCAAAAAACGGCTGCGAGGGAGACTTACTATCTCGGAGCCTGGAACAGGCTACCCTCCCCAGAGAACAAAATCCCAGCTCCCCTAAAACGTCATGCCTGGGATCGGAAGGCTAGAAATAGTTCAGCACTATCAAGTTTGAATTTGGTTTTGGGTTTCGAACGGACGTGTCCGGTTAAAAAAGCTTAGTCATGCACCGAGGTGACACCCGGGGAATTTTGACATCCTAAAGTTGGATTAGTCTAGTACGACAATTATGATTAAAAATGCGTAAAGTTTTCCTCAATGGCTCTTTTAAAAAGCGGACTTTTAGGTTAAAGAAATATCAATTTTTAGTGAAACGCGTTTTGAAACTACCTACGTTTGAGCAGCGAGGTGCAGCGTAAAAGTTTGGATTGTATCGGATCATGGATAGGATTTAATACCCTAGCCCATTACTCTCTAATAAATTTACTTTGACTTTTACCATTGGACTGTACTAGAGGTCGTTGCAGGTAGATTTCCAAGACTTCCCACAATGTACAGTTTTTAGGTTGCTTGACCTATTTTTGCGGCTTCGAATTTTCAAGACGGTCCAAAGTCCAGGCCAAATTCCTAGACTCCAACTCCGTAAACGCACAAACGTCTCACGCCTGTACAAGTTAGTTTTCGAAACACACTGAGAGTTGTCAAAAATTACCATTCTCTGATATATACCCTTCAAATGAAACCTTAGATTATCAGCCTCCTCGCACGTGAAGAAGCAGGCTATAAATTAAACTATGACTGGATCATATTGTTATTTATCTGGCCTGCAGCAGTGTAAGCCAGGACAATATCGTTATGACGATGCTAAAACGTTTGCTCGATATGAACTAGCACACTAGAGAAATGAACGTTTTAAATTGCGCGTTGAAAAAGAAATGACTTACTGTCCGGCTTCTGCCAAGGCCAGCGCCACGCTTCGGCCAATGTTCCAAACAGAGCAAGGACCAAAAGAATAGGAATATTCAGCATCTGTTAGCTGTTTGAGACGAATAGTGTCTTGGTACAGACCGAAGCTACCTCAGAAAAAGAGGATTTGCTGATGAACCGTTCTAGGGCCAGGGCTAAAGTGCTCAAACTGGCTCAATGTCAAGTATATTGTGTGACGTCAATTACCGTTTCCGGTTCGATATAAATCAGTGACCAAATTTCTTTAGGGAAACCCCCCTGTAAAAAGCGTTTGCTTGCTTGTAAATCAAGTGTACGGTCCTCTGGTCCCGGGGGGCACTCAAGGGAAGTCTGGGTAGAGCTGAGCCGCCGAGGCCTTTAAACCCTAGCCTGTGAACAGGCCTTTGGTCGAGCAGGGAACCTTTCCTTGCTATTTTTTTCCCCAAACAAAGAGCCTGTTCACAGGCTATTAAACCCCGACCCTGTTTATTAAGACAAAAATTGTTCATTTCGCTACCCTGTTTAAGACAGGAGACACCACTATTTGCCCCTGATTTGCCTTGTTTTGCATACAGAATTAAGTAATTTTTCACCCTAAAATCGTGGAAATAAAATATTGGTATTGCAAATATAGACCGCTCATCGCAAGTCTTCACAGTCAAAAAACGAAACCCTTTAATAGTGAAATTGTATACCCTGTTTAAGACCTTGAAAACCATACCCTGTTCAGCGGCACATACCCGTATAGGCCAAATACGGAAGTGCCCCCCACTCCCAAGCCTCTGGTTTTATCAACATCCTAAAGTGTTTACGAAGAAGAGAGACACGATTCTGACACTAGTTCTGACTCTTTATGAAAGAAAAGGGGATATGATCTATGAAAACAGCTGTAAAAATCGACGTCAACTACACTTGTGTCTACGACAACTTTCATATATGTAAATTTTTGTCTTTTTAAGGTATTTGCACAGGCAAATTTTCAACATTTTATTTTGCCCTCAAAATCTTTCTACAGTAAGTTCAGATGATGTAATATGCATATCTGGTGTTCTTTTTTGAATATACCTTGGCATTTAAGAGAAAATCTACTCAAAAGTTGACTGATTTACTGCAAGTTAAAGAAAAATTTTCATTTCCGTTACTAAGGAAAAGGACGGCAGGAGCGCAATTTGACTCCTCTTTCCAGCATCAAGTTCTATTGATGCGCTGAACAAAATCTATTCACTGCTTGGATTCATTGACAAACTACAGCCGCTGTGTGTCCAACTTGATTTTTCTTGCTTCTGTTAAAGCTGTGATGACTAATATTACTTGCTTCTTGTCAAAATTTGTTATGTTATTGAAATACACTCCGTTTTCCAGGGCTTATTATTGTTTTAAATTTACATTACATCGGTGTGTCTTCTCACCTGATATTTTCTGACAATTTTGCCGGGAGAGTAAAACGTTTTCTTGGCCCCTAATCCTCTGGTCTGTTTTTCTGCCAATTTCTTTCACTTTACAGAAGCAATTCTTTTCAATTTTGAATAAAACTCTTCTTCAATCTTCATACTTCGGCGCGCTTCACTGCATTAAAGCTGACACTGAGTAACGCATCTTCCGGAAATGCGTCACACCTAGCAACTGGTCACGTATCAAAATCCAAGGGGGCTATAGAGAGGTCATTTGGCATTTTCTTAGGCTTCCACGAGCATTTTACACAGCGGTGATTCAAAATGGCGGGCAAGAAGGTCTGTGATGGTAGTATCGAGGAAAAACAGTTGATTTTGAGAAGAAAATAAGCTTTTTCACACTGGAAAAGCGTTAATTACCGCGTGACCGATTTACCTTGACTTACGGGAACCAGTTTTTTGGAGGAATGGATCATTATTACTTCGTGAAATTTGGCAAATACACAAACAGCATGTTAATGAACAGATCTGTGTTTGACTAAAGGTTAGAATTGCCGTACAGCTGAGTTATTGATGTCAAAATATGGGTCAAATTACAAAATAGCAAATTGTGCCCTAGAGGCTGGATTAATTGGAGCTGTGTCGTGGTCAAACACAGAATTATTCTATCTTACGTCCTTATTTGTGTTACATTTCTTTTTTAACAATAACTCTAAGGATTCTTCTGAAATTTTGATTTTTCTCTTTCCGTGCCACCCTAGGGGGTAATTAAATTAACACCTTTTGGGTGACATAACATAGTTTATTTTGATATATTCTAGTTCCTCAAGAACTGAGGAATACTGTCAATGTAGTGACATATAGATATTATCCATAAAACAACCACTAAAAATGATGCAAAAATGTGCAAAATTTGCCTGTGCAGATACCTTAAATGGACATTGTAATTTTTTTTCAATGTTTTATTGATTTATGTTAACAGAGGGCCACAAGTTTATCAGTTTAGATCATAACTGCCAAGTATTACCCTAGAGTGTCTCGATGGAGTGGTAGCTTTGACGGTTAATTTTTTCCAATTTTGACGGTTAGATTTTAGAGCTTTTGACGGTTGACGGTTATTAAGTGGAAATTTAGTCCAAAAGTTAAAGTAAATATCAACTTCTGTATGGAGCTTGTCTTGGCCTTTCAATTATGAAATTTCGAAATATTTTCAGATATAACTGTGGTTGAAAGGTATTGTAATTACTAGAAAGAGTGTTTTGGAGGACATGGGAACTGGTTTTTCCAGTTTGGAGATTCTTCGGGAGCCAGAATCCCTGGGGGATCAGTTGACTTGAAACTCTTTTATGGTTAATCTCAATCTGCATTTTGACGGTTAACGGTAAAAAATAACCTTTTTGACGCCTGACGGTAAAATTTTAGGCCGTTTGACGACTGACGACACTGACGGTTAACTTCATTGAGACATTGAGACCTTCCTATAAATATAGGCGTAGGCACTTCACTTCACTTCACTTGAGTGGCCTACTGTCAGTACATAGAACCTATTGCGTGCGTAGTGCTTAGTCTAGCCTGCGTAGCAGGCGTCGAAAAAGGCAGGGGATAGGGAGGAAGGGAAAGGAGGGGAAAAAGGAAGGGGACTGGTGAGTTCCCGACAAATCAAATTAATTCCCCCGTAGCCACAGGGTTCAGCCTTGCGTTCTGATTGGCGAGTGTAGCGAAACTTGATTGACAGTAAACGTAATCGGACCACTAGAAAATTGGTGAGCGTTATGCAAAAACACAGGCTTCTCAGAGCAGGCGCTCCTCAACCTCGTCCCCAGGGCTTTTCCCTTTTCGGAGGGAGAGAAGCGACCACCGGAAATGCGTCTGCGCTTCGCAGGCTAAGGTAACAAGTGATCAAGCAATTGATACATTAAGATTAATTTTAGCATCATGGAAATGCAAATCGCAGGTATAATTAATAAGAATAGTAAAAAATCAATACACTTACAATCTGGCTTCTGCCATGGCCATCTCCATGCACTGGTATATGTGACCAAAATGAGGATGGTTATGATAGATTTCATTTTTCAAAATTTGTGAAGATGATTGTCCTGACACAGCCACCCTGCGTAGTATCTTAGTGATATAATCCGCTTGCTTCAGTCGGTTTGATCCCAACAAGCTCTGCCGAACCAATAATAGAAAGCAATCAGTGAAATAATTTAAACAGCCTTAAATTTCTTTACGCATTTGTTGAGCTTGGTAGCCGGTTTTCATAAAAACAAGCAATTACAGGGCTTTTTCCATTGATGGGCTATTTGTGCAGGGTACCTCTGCATCTGTGCAATTAGCGGTTGAAATAATACATAGTACTGAATAATGAAACGTACGAGCACAATGGAGCTTACTTACAACCTGTACACAAACAAATTGAATGACGAACAATTTGTTATTGTTTTTTTTCACAGGTTTAAGGCAAATTGTGAGTAAACATAATTTCACTGAACAAAGCCTTTTGAATTTGTACATTTATCAGCTGCTGGAAAAAAGGGCCGATACCGACAAACGAGTGTTGATATGACGTTAATTGCCTGCGTATGAATTTGTACTTCAGTGTTTACAAAGCACATCAAATGACTGACGCCCGGCATTATTAGCTTCTGAAAACACAGTTATTTTACTATTTAAATTGTAGTATTCTGTTGAATGTTAAATAAAAGTAAGGAATATTTCTTTTAATAGAACAGATCGGCCAGCTTAACTGTGACCGATGTATGTTATGTGCTAGTGTTCACTTCTAAATTTTGGAACTGTCCAGACTGTCATTTTTTATCGATCAAGTGTTAGGGAAATAACTTATTACTCTCTACCTTCATCTGAGTTGTTGCGATTTTTAGTTCAAAACAGTGTACAAAAGCAACCAGTATCATATCACCCAGGTTTTAAGGGAGAGATGAAGGTATCAAGTCACTAAGGAGAGGGGGCGGGGACTGCCTCAATGAATTTTTCCTTGGCAATGGTGGGCCTCAGTTTAGCCTTAGAATAAGCCAGGGCTAGAGGTAAAGATTCACCAAAATTCTGTTCACTGACGGTGGAACGTTTGGCGGTCTTGCAGAGTTTTTCATTCTATGAAAGCAGAAACTCAACCCCTTATGAGTTTCCGATGAAAGATATAGAAAGGGACGTTCGTCACGCAACGTCTCACCTCGATGGCTACTGTTTATGTGCCCAGCGGTATCGCCCTTGAGACGTGGAACGAAAAATGGCGCAGGCCACAAGCAACATGTGACAAAATATGTTTTCTTTTTCACGATCGCACAGCCAGAATTTTTCAAAACTGCTCGTTCAGGTAACTGCAGAATATATTCTTTGTTTCCGCAGTTAGGTATAGTGCGACCTTGAGGTGCGTGAAGTTTCAGAAACATCACTGTTGAACTGTCTGTTTCCGGCGCTCGCCGGACGTGTTCTGTCATTTTATTACGATTTTAAGGCTATCGATTGCATGATTTGACAATAACTTAGAATTTTAGAAAAGCAAGCTTTGTCTTGTTTTCTCATACAGTTCGATATCTTTTGCTTGAGCTAAAGACTGTTGGAGTGTGGAGAATAATAATTATACTAGCTAGACAGCTGAACACTGGTATGTTTAGACAATGGCAAGAAATCGAAACCAGCTGACGCGCTGTTGTCAGCTTTAATATTATAATA